CAGTTATTTGTTCAACAGCACCTATCAGCTCCAACCTGAGTCCTAGAATTCTGATTCTGTGGTATGGTAGAGCTCCTACTCATATCCTGGATTTCTTCTTCCATACACATACTTACGCTTCAGAAATGTCACTTTCTCCTGCATTGTCAAGAAAAGGCTTAAGCCATGCTTAAGTAAGGAGGGGATAAGTGTACGAAATTCTCAGAGGTACATTCATTCCTGAGGTGGGTGATACAAAGAGAGCCTCCGAAGTCCATATTGTTCCAGGAGCTCCACTGGCATTATTCTCTGCCTTACTGACTTAGGAGAGTGTTCATCTTGGAGAACTAATCCCCTCTGGAAAGTCCTACCAAAGCTGAGATTTGAAGGATCAGGCATGGTGTCTGTGGATGTTGAAGACAAAGGCCTACAGAGAGAAGACCAACAGGACTAGACTGTCTGTCATGGAGGATGGGGACAGAGGTTCTCTCGTGCTGCTCAGTGTGTCTAGGACAAGTGGAAAGGTAAGGAGATAAGAGTTATGTTGGAGAAGTTCCATCTGGAAATTGGGCAGCTGGGAAGAAAACCGAACCCTGGCTGAGGTACAGAGAATGGATAGAAGTTAGAGGGAGTAGATTGGGAGAAAGAAGCTGGTAGGCTAAAATGGTGGCGGTGGTGGTGGTGGCGGCGGTGGTGGTGGTGGTGGTGTGTGTGTGTGTAGTAAGGAGATGAAGAGGCAGTAAGAACCAACTATGGGCATGTGGGACACAATGAAGGATGAGTTCAGGGACATATGGAAATGTCTAGCTTGAGAGCTAGAGGGAGATTGGATTTTTGTACAGGAATTTAAGTGATCTGGAAGGAGTCTGTTTAATGGAGGAAGATTAGCATTTAGTTTGGGACAAGAATGAGTGCACACACCCAGGAAACGACTCAAGTGCAGACATCCTCTTCTCTAATGACCTTGTCCCCATCAGAACCTCCCTGACATGAGCTCCTGCATCTCCTCAACGTCTCACAAGACGTTCCACATATTAGTGTCTCCAAAACATAGAGGCTATGGACCTTTATTAAAATCCCATCCTTGTCAAACTTCCAACTTCCTTGGCTGTCACTCTGCTGGGCTTACCTAGTGTTAAAGGATGAAAGACATGCACTCAAAATTCATATGATCAAGTCCTAACCCTCTTGTCTCAAACATGACTGTATTTGGAGGAGGTATTTAAAGAGGTAATTAAAATAAGATTGTTAAGGTGGACCTAGATCCAAAATGGCTCTCTTTAGAAGAAATGGAAACCATAGCCAAGCACTGGTGGCTCATGCCTGTAATCCTAGCTACTCAGGAGACTGAGATCTGAGGACCATGGTTCCCAGCCCGGGCAGGAAAGTCTGTGAGACTCTTAGTTCCAATAAACCACGAGAAAACCGGAAGTGGCCCTGTGACTCAAGTGATAGAGTGCTAGCCTTGAGCTGAAGAGCTGAGGGACAGTGCCCAGGCTCAGAGGGCAAGCCCCATGACCAACAACAACAAAAAGAAGTGGAAGCCATTATAGGGGGAAGACCAGGTGAGGAACCAGGGAGAAGAGTCCATCTGCAAGCCAAGGAGAGAGTCCTCAGAAGGAACCAACCCTGCCACCATCTTGATCTTGAACTTCCAGCCAACTATTGTATGGAATTCTGTTTGGATATGCTGGCAAACTACTGTACCTAGTACCCCACAACTCTGCCAAATTCAACTTTCTACCTCTATTTTCCCTTTGGTCAAAGCAACAGGGTGTGACTGGACAGAAGAACACCAGCTCATTAGTGTCCTTTCCTTCGGACTCCAGATCCCTCAAAAACCTTGAGAATTCTTCCATTCCTCAGTCCATATGCTCTCTTTATCGCCTCTCAGCCCCCCAGGGCTCCACCCCAACACCAGAGGCAGTCTTTCTTTTTTATTTCATGGAGTAGCAATTAGAAGAGAATGTTTCCATTGCACCAGCTCCAAATCCACATCTCCCAACTTGTAAGCCATATTCTCTATGTCTCTTTAGCATTGTGGTGGAGCTCCTACCCACCCCCTAACCTGTGTCTGGGGACCCTCCTCCTCTCCCCTCCACACACAGTGCTTTGCTCTGGAAACTTCCTCTGCCTCTGCATTGTTAATTGTCATCTTTCCAGCAAGCTAGCCTAGTCATCCTGCAATCCTTCCAGCACAAAATGTTATCTTCTGACTCCCCATCATCTTCCAGTTCTGTCTGACCCCCAAAACATCACATACACAAATATACCCCTAACTCACTGATAGGAGAGTCACAGGTTCTCTTGAAGTTACTCTAGTGGGATATATCTTTCTCATTCCTCTAAAATACTTCATTTTTTTTTAACAGTCACCAGAACTTCCAAGTGGCCCTTCCTCTATTTTGGTTACTTCTTTAGTACTCTTTCCCAGCATTCTCTTGCCTTTATGACCTCTAGTACAGGAAGTCCCCATGTCTATCTCTAGAAGTCTCTACAAGTTTGTGGCTTTAAACCAGCTGCTGAAGTCATCCATATTAATGTCTGTAGTATGAATTCCTCACTGAAAATCACAGAAGTTAGTTAGTGGGGCACTGGTGGCTCATGCCTGTAATTCTAGCTACACAAGAGGCTGAGATCTGAGGATCACGATTCAAAGCCGGCCTAGGAAGAAAAGTCCCCAGAGACTCTGATCTCCAATTAACCACTCAAAAACTGGAAGTGTTTTCAACATAGTGTCTTGTACATCTCATTGTTACAATGGGTCAATCTGTATCCTTGGTTCAGCATTTTGTTATTTTCTTTCCCCTCCCCAAATTAGAAAAATGTATGTACAAGATTCAGGGTACTGGAATCAAATACAGTGAAAAGAGGGGTTATAACATGGGAGAAGAACATACAAAAGAAACAAAAAAAATCACAGTACATTAAAAACGATAGCAACAAAGATAAAACCTCTTGTGTCTCTATCTTGGAGCTGGGGAGGTAGGGAGGGAAGGGATGGTAGGGGAAAAACAAAGGAAGAGGTAGCAATGTTTGATAGGAAATGGACTCATTACCTTACTCATGTAACTGTAACCCTTCTGTACAGTATCTTTACAATAAAAATATATATTAAAAAACAACAACAACAAATACTGGAAGTGGTGCTGTGACTCAGAGTGGTAAAGCTCCAGCTTTGAGCAAAAGAAGCTCAGGGACAGCACCCAGACCCCGAGTTCAAGCTCAAAACTGGAAACAAAATCATAAACAAAAACAATAACCAAAAAAAAAAACCCACTCCAGAAGTTATAGTTTATTAGCTCCTTGAGGTCAGCTTTTGGGATTCTGACAGCATCTGACTTAAAGTTCTCCATCTCTTTTCCCCTCTAACCAAACCGAAAGCATCCCACTTTCCCTTTTCTAAACACAGCCATTTTGTCTTTTCATTACTCAGACTCCCCCTCCCCCCCAATCTTGGAATCATCTTGGAGTCTTCTTTCCTTTCGCAAATCCCACTTCCAAGTCACTGCCAATCCTGTTTCCTCTGCCTCCTCCCTGAAGCAGAGCCACTTCTTTTTGTCCTTGCCACCTCTGTTGGTACTCTACGGGTCAGAGAGCTTTCCACCCACCCCTCTACCATGTATCTGCCATCCCAAGCCACATGTAATGTGCCATGCTAGATCAAGACAGTGCAGTCTACAGTTGTCTTTATCTGGCCTCACACAGCCTCAGCGAGCAAGCTTCCTGCGACTCTCCACACTTCTATTCTTTTTTAAAAAATTATGTTCTTGTAAAGATACTGTACAGGGGGGTTACAGTGATATCAATAAGGTACATAAGAGTACATTGCTTGTCTGTTACCCCCTCCTTTGTTTTCTCCCACCATCCCTTCCCTCCCGCCCCTCCTCCAATCCTCCCCTCCCCCAACTTGTAAAGATGGTTTCCAGCATGGGATCTTGTGGGAATCCTTGTTGCAATGGGTCATCCTGTGTCCTTGCTTCATCCTGTGTCCTGTTGTTATTCCCCTTCCCCTCCCCAAATTAGATTAATGTATATAGAAGGTGCAGAGTACCCAAATAAAGTACAGCAACAACAGGGCATATACCATAGGGGGAAGAACATACAAAAGAAATGAAAAAAAAAAGTCACATAGTACATTAAAAACAACAACAAAGGAAAACCTCTTGTGTCCATATCTTGGGGTTCATTTTGCTTAGCATCTGATAGGGTTATCCTGGATGTAAACTAATTGCTGCAAATAAGGGAAACCATGGGACCCAGGCATTCTGGATTCTATTCTATTCTTTCTCCCATAGCCTTCCAGCTACACAGGCGTCTTTGCTGCTCCTGGAAGGAGCCAAGGAGTTTCCCGACACTGGGCCTTTGCATTTGCTACCCCTTAGGTCTAGATAACAATTGGCCCATGGAAAGTCCTATATAAGAACAGTCATCGGTCTCTGCTGAACGGTTGCCCAGGTCCCGTGGAGAAAGAAGCAGCAGGAAAAGCCGCTCTGTTTGTTTTTCAACTCAGTTGGAGCGCCCGAGTCTTGCCTGCCAGGTGCGGTTCCAAGCACCGCCACGCCATCAAAGCGTGATAGAATAGATGACATTTAGTGAAATGCCGACCATGGGCCGGGCAGTGTGTGCTCAACACCTTGGAAATACGAATTCACTTAATCCCCACAGAAGCCCTGAAAGCGAGGCTCCCCACGTTCCAGAGAGGAGAAGGAGCTCGCCCTCGGTCGCTCAGCTGGGGCTGGAACTCGGAACTGCAGTCACTGATGCTGCGTGAGAGAACGCGCTGGCTTTTCGCTGGAGACTCAGGGCGGCTGAGCAGGTGTTCATCAGAGCCCTGAGATGGAGGGAGGGTGTTCGTGCCTAGACACAGCGCACGGTGTGAATGCAGAGTTCCGACGGTCCTGGGGCTTCCTCCTAGTACACGTGGCTGAGCCGCTGAAGGCGGGGTGAGGGACAGGTTGGCCAGGAGTCGGGGAGGGGCACAGTTACTTGGGCCCCTGCAGAGGGGGAAGGGGGCGTCCTCTCCCTGGAGATGGAGAATCTGGATTCATCTGCTCAGGAGTCCAGAGAGGAGATACAGTTGGATCTTTGAGATCCTTTGAACCAGATGGGTAGGATTGGGAAGGGAAGCAGATAAAGCAAGTGAAAGGCTGGGCGGGGGGGAGCCCCACAAGCAGCCCACGCCCCTCCTCTTCCTGCCTACACTCGCTGACCTCTCGAATTCCGCCCCGCAGGCTCCCGCATTCGGCCCCATGGACGGCGGTGAATTCAGTCCCGAGTCGTCCCGGGACAGACCCAGCTGCTGTGGGCTCTCCAGGAAAATCCTCGTGTGTCTGGGCGTGGGTGTCCTGGCCCTCATCCTGTCCGGGCTCGGGCTCGCCTTGTTCGCGGTTCACAGATGGCGACTTTTCTCCAAGCCCCTGCAGTGGAACGCGACCCGCACCACCCCGCACTTCTCGGAGATCTTCCTAGGGCGATGCTACCTCTACACCCAAGTCCTGCACCCTGAGCTGGGGTGAGTGGGCGCCCGCCGGCCATGCGCACGCGCGCGCGCCCTCCGGGCGGGGTGGGGGGCGGCGCAGGGCGCCCCCAAACCGGCAGTCAGCACCCTAGTGGGACCTGAGCACCTTCCCGCAGCGCAGGCAGGAGCGGGAGGATGCGGGGCTCCTTGCTGAGCCCGGGGCAGAGGTGCCAGCCTTGGGGATCGGGGGTGGGGGGTCCTAGCGCTCGGCCCCAGTCCAGCCGTGGGGCACAGGGCGCGGGGGGGGGGGGTTGGCGACGTCCCCAAGCCCGGCTGGGGCCCCAGAGCGCAGGCAGGACCGTTCCAAGCGACACCCGGGTTCGGTGGCTTTCGGGAGCCTGCGGTCAGGAAGCCATCCGAAAAGCCAGATCGCTCACGCAGTTTGATCGATCGAACGACTTAAACCAGCACCCTAGGTTTTTCCTGTGGTCCCGGAAACCCACTTGACCCCGAACAAAACGGAAACCAAGTGGGCTTTATAAGCCCCAAGTGCGCTGCTTGGGGAGGAGAGTGGCTCCGACGGGTCAAGTGTGGGCACCCCGCCCACATCAGCCTGGCACACTGACGTGTCCCCCCAAGAGAGGCGCTCTGGTCCCCAGTGCTCATCTTCCGCTGCTCGCTTTGGGAAGAACTTAGTTCTGCGGTTGTGCGCACCCAGGTCTCCCTTACGCACCCGCCATGCTCCGAGCTGTGCCCCGGAGCTCGGGGCAGAGAGCTCCACGCGTGGTTGTGTTTGATCACAGACAACCAAACGCTTATTGGAAAGGGAAGGGAGAAGGCAGGCGCTTGGGCAGGCTGAGCGCCGAGCAAATCAAAGGAGATCCCAGCTGCTCTCCCTGAGCAGAGGCCAACTCATTTTTCTGTTCACATAATCTTTTTATTTTATTTATTTTTATTGTGAAAATACCGTACAGAGGGGTTACAATTACATGGGCAAGGTAATGAGTGCATTTCTTATCAAGCATTGTTGCCTCCTCCCTTGTTTCCCCTTCCCATCCTTTCCCATCTCCCGCCCCCCCAAAGTTGTAAAGTTTGTTTTTCGACATAACGACTTGTGCCTCTCATTGTTGCAATGAGTCCACCTGTATCCCTAGTTAAACGATTTGTTTTTTTCCCTTCCCCTCCACAAATTATAACAACATCAAATACAGTGAAAGCAGGGGTTATACTGTGGGGGAGGGACATAAAATCGCAAGAAAGGAAAACCATTTGAGTCCTTATCTTGGGGTTCATTTCACCTAACATCAACTTATCTGACCGTTTCTGCCTGTCTCAGACAAATAAGGGAAACCATGGGACCTATGTTTCTTTGGGCCTGGCTTACTTGATATAATTTTTTTCCAAGGCATAATCTTAACCGTTAACGTTTCTTTTTTCTTCTTCTTCTTGCTTTGTCATTGTTCATTGGCTAAAGTCACACTGCAGCTTGGACGAGCTGATCCACACAGCAAAGCGATGCACACAGAATCCTCCAGGGTTTTAGCCAAGCACCCCTCTTTTTGGGTGCTTTAGGATTGGGAATTGTGCAGTCCCGAGGCTTGGGTTGAAGTCCCAAGGTTCTATCACCATGAGTCTGGAGCGGATTCCTTCCTTCACTCTTCAGTGTCTGGTGGTCTCACCTGTAAAATGGGAAAATTAATACTATAAACTCAATGTTAATTATTCTATTTATTACTAATATATGTTTTATAGATACAATGTAATATAAAAATAATCATAAAAATGCGTGGCTCATGAACAAATGACAACAACTGACAGGAATAATTTTGTTATACAGTAAGCCCTCAGAAGTATAGATACGGACATGAAGTGTCCCAGACACCTTTCCACAATAATAAATGCAGTAGTGCAAAGACAACCATTTAGAAAGGATGTCTCACAGTGCATTGTGAAATCGCAATTCAGTACATCAGTCCTCTAGTGATAGAATTCATATTGTTTCTAACTTGTTTCTAATGCTCTCCTTTGAATGTAACAGTTAGACTTCATGCTGGTGTCCAGATATCTACTTATTTTTTTAAACCAGCTCCTAATATTCCATAGGCTCTGTGTGACCCTTTCCAGTTGACAGAAAATTCATTTACTTTCAATTTTTAATCCTATCTATTCCCTCAGTAAATGCTTGTTGAGCATCATACTGTGACCCAGGAAGAGTTCTGGCTGGTGCCTCTTGATTGAACAGTCAAGTCCCTCCTGGCCGCGGTGAGCTGCTTCACATGCGGGCGCTTCTGCACATAGCAGAGGAAGAGGGATTTGCAGAGGAAGAGGGATTTGTAGTAGCGGAACATGTCACCGAAGGGGAAGTGAGAATATTTCTATTGATCAAACTCCAATAGTTTCAGTTTCTCTCCAAAATACTTATACAGGACATACTTCTCCATCTCCTCTTTGTTACTGAATATTTTCGACCTCCCCAGTTAGGAGAAAACTAGCACCTAATTACTTGGTTCCCAGTGCGTCTAAGCATATATTGGTTGACCATATATACTTTCCCTCCTGTTGTCTCGTTCAGGTCCTTCGTAATTTCTGTTGAGTTGTTTTAAAATTTATTTTATGAGGGTTCTTTATATGTTTTGGATATATTTACACACAACACACAGATATATACATAGAGTCTTACAGCTATACCCCTGAAATCCCGAATTTAATTATTATCTTTAGGCTGTTTTTTATTTCTATATTGTTTTCCCAGGAAAACATTTGTTTTGTTTTCAGACCCAACAAATCCTATCATGGAAGTGTTTTGTTTTGAGTCTGTATTTTTTAAAAGTCAAGAATTCTTCTTTCTTTCCTTTCTTCTCTCCTTCCTTCCTCTTTCTCTCTCTTCATTTCTCTTTCTCTCTTCCTTCCTTCCTTTCCTTCTTCTTTCTTTCCTTCCTTTCCTTCTTCTTTCTTTCCTTCCTTCTTTCTTTCCTTCCTTCCTTCCTTCCTTCCTTCCTTTCTTTCTTTCTTTCTTTCTTTCTTTCTTTCTTTCTTTCTTTCTTTCTTTCTTTCTTTCTTTCTTTCTTCCTCTCTCTTTCTGTCTATCTGTCTTTCTTTTCTTTTCTTTCTTTCCTTCTCTCCCTCTCTATTTGTTTCTTTCCTTCTCTTCTTCTCTCCCTTTCTATTTTCTCTCCTTTCTCTGTCTTCTCTTCTCTTCTTTCTTTCGTTCTTCCTTCCTTCCCTCCCTCCCTCCCTTCCTTCCCTCCCTCCCTCCCTTCCTTCCTTCCTTCCTTCCTTCCTTTCCTTCTTCTCTCCCATTCTCTTTCTCTCCTTTCTCTTTCTCTCTTCTTTCTCCTTTCTCTTTCTCTCTTCTTTCTCCTCTCTCTCTTCTCTTCTCTTCCTTCCTTCCTTCCTTCCTTCCTTCCTTCCTTCCTTCCTTCCTTCCTTCCTTCCTTCCTTCCTTCTTCTTTTCTTTTCTTTCTCCCTCTCTGTCTCATTTTCTTTCTTGGCTTGACTGAAGGCAGCTAAAAGAACAGAACCAATGCTTTCAAATCTTGCCTGGAACTGGCAGCTGCATCTACAACTTTCCTAGGCACGTTTCTGTGTCTTCTTGACTTTTGTAGTGACAGTGTCACCAAACTTCCTGCCACATCGTTACACAGGCCGTCTTGAGGGCAGCCTCCAGCAACCATTCCTGTCCATCCAGCTGCTAACTGACAGTCCTTTCAGACCTTCCTTCTTTCGTCTATTCCCCAGTCTCTGTGCTAATGCCACAGTGTACTAGTCAAGGCCTTCAGAGAAACAGAAATAATATGTAAGGTGCGAGACAGAAAGGGAGGGGGGAGAACCGGATTGGCTTATGCAATGGTAGAGGGTAATCAGCAAGGTCAGGAAGCTGGAAACCCAGGAGGAGCTGGTGCTGGATTCTCTTTTCCTCCTGGGACCTCGATCATTTCTATAAGACTCACCTGGTTTGATGAGACCCATCTACATTATGAAGGGTAATATGCCTTATATTAGGTTTACTGGTTCAAATGTTAATTCTACTAAAAGAAGATACCTTCTCAGCAACACATCTGGCGACCTTGGCCTAGCCAAGGTAACACAGCGAATCATTGTGCATGTGTTTTAGGGGTTTGTTATGTAGTTCTTTAATTCGAGGTACCATTTTCTATATGGGTATGAGAAACTGCTACCCTGAAATGTAAAGCTACAATAATTTGTTCTGTTTCATGATTCTATGGGTTGACAGTCAGCTGAGGGGAGCTGCTGCATGTGATGTCAGCTGGCTTTGTAGACACCCAGGATGGACCCTTGGCAGGAACATTCCAGATGTTTGTCCACATAAATGGCGTCTGAGTTCGGCTGGGCCGGCTCATCCTCTTCCTCTCTTAACTGGCCCAAGTTCTCTCCTTCTCCATGTGTCTTCACTGTGCTGTCTCTCCCGTTAGAGTTGGATTTCTTCATCTTCACTGTGCTGTCTCTCCCGTTAGAGTTGGATTTCTGCAGAAGTCATGCTTAGCTGGCGCTCGTTCATTCCCATGTATATGCAGGTGCAGGCAGACACCAGCCTAGCCCAGGCTCAGGAAGAACAGAAGCAAAAAGCTCCACCTCTTGGTGGAGGGAATAACACAAAATTGTGTGGACGGCTTTGACCTCTCACAGTTTTACTTTCTTTTTCTCTGCTTTTGTATTTTTATTTTTTTTTAATTTTTGCTCTTTCATTACACCTTCTGCTCCATTTCATAACTTTCTAGTAAGTAGATTTTAAATGATGCAAGTCTAATTTTACCTGATTTCATTTTTCTATTTCCACCTGGCAGCTGTGTGACCCTAGGCACATTTTCAGCCTGTCTATTCCTCCCTGTCTCCCTCAGTACAGTGGAGGGTAAGTTTGTCCCTTTCATAGGCGGGTGGGGTGGCTGCAGGACGAAATCAGTAATTCATTGCGCGCTCCTTTTGCCCTCCCCACTTCTGCTTGTTCCCACTCCAAACAGGCCCTGTTTTACATTACTGTGAAGTCCTGGGACTTGAATTCTGGGCCTGGGCACTTTCCTGGACTCCTTCACTCA